GCTCACGGAGCCTTCAGGTGAGTTCTGAGGCATTTAAGGTGGGAGGCGAGAGGGGGCCCAGGGTGATGGCTTTTTTTTTTTTTTTAAAGATTTTATTTATTTATCTTTAGAGGGGAAGGGAAGGAGAGAAGGAGAGAAACATCAGTGTATGGTTGCCTCTCATGGGTCCCCCACTGGGAACTGGCCTGCAACCCAGGCATGTACCCTGACTGGGAATCAAACCGCAATCCTTTGGTTCGTAGGCCTGCACTCAATCCACTGAGCTACACCAGCCAGGGCCTTTTTTTTTTAAAAAAAGGTTTTATTTATTTATTTTTAGATAGAGGGGAAGGGAGGGAGAAAGAGAGGAAGAGAAACATCAATGTGTGGTCGCCCCTCTCCTGCGCCCCCTACTGGAGATCTGGCTGCAACTCAGGCATGGGTCCTGACCAGGAATCGAACTGGCAGCCCTTTGGTTTGCAAGCCAGCACTCAATCCACTGAGCCACACCAGTGAGGGTCCAGGATGATGGTTTTCAAGGTCCTTGAGGGTTGTGTTGCAGAGCATTGGGCACTTCATATCAAGGTCCAAAGGACATTATAGTAGGATCCTAAGGGCTTTTACTTAAAGTTTTCTTAAGATTTGAAAAATACCCCGGCTTGTGTAGCTCAGTGGATTGAGTGCGGGCCTCCGAGCTAAGGGATCACGGTTCGATTCCCAGTCAGGGCACATGACTGGGTTGCAGGCCAGATCCCAGTGGGGGACACACAAGAGGCAACCACACATTGATATTTCTCTCCCTCTCTCCTTTCCTTCCCCTCTAAAGATAAATGAATAAAATCTTTAAAAAAAAGATTTGAAAGTGCTCGCTTTGGCAGCACATATACTAATATTGGAACGATACAGAGAAGATTAGCATGGCCCCTGCGCAAGGATGACACGCAAATTCGTGAAGCGTGCCATATTTTTAAATATTAATTTCTAGCCCTGGCTGGTGTAGCCAAGCGCGCGACAAAAGCTAAACCCCCCCCCCCCCCAGAAGAAACTCAAAAAATATTAATTTCTAGACTGGTATTTTGTCAAGGGTGTTTACAATCAGCATTTCATGTTTGTGTTTTGCCCTTGGAGTTCTCTAAACAATAGAAATAAAAGTTGGTGATCTTTAAAAAAATTTTGAAAAATATTTTATTTATTTTAATGTTCACCAGAGGATATTTTCTCACTGCTTTTTAGAGAGTGAGAAAGGGAGAGAGAAAGAGAAAGACACATCGATCAGTTGCCTACTTCTATGTGCCCCGATGGGAGACTGAACCTACAGCCTGGGTATGTGCCCTGACCAGGAGTCGAACTCGCAACTTCTCAGTCTATGGGACAGTGTTCCAACCAACTGAGCCACACCAGCTGGGGCTGCGGGCCTTGACCGTAAGAACCCAGGGACTGCTGAAATAGTATCACAGAGACGTCCCTGGACACCAAAGGAAGCAGAGGGACCGCTGGGCCTGGCAGGTTCCTGCGGGTATTTTAGGAAAATGCTAAAGCTGCTGTAATCGAACTTAGAGGACATGGAAGCGCAATCCTTCGATGTCATGGGCAGCCCCTGGGGGTGGATCTGTGGCCAGTCTAGCCGGACCCAGGAAGGGCAGAGACAAACCACAGAGGCTCCTCACTGAGTCCTGAACGCGCCGGATCTCGTCTGATCTCGGAAGCTAAGCAGGGTCGGGCCCGGTCAGGACTGGGATGGGAGACACAGCGGTTCCTCACCTAGTTGAACATAACTTCGCGGCATGTAGTGGGTGGTTTCCTGTGTCCTCTTGGCTGGGCCGCTGTGCACGCACGTTTGCTCAAACATGACTCCGGATGATTCTGTGAGGGTGTTTTCAGTGAGATTTGCATGGAACTCGATGTGGAGAGGACACAGCCAATCAGTCGGCGGCCTGAATAGAAGACAAAATAGACCTCTCCCAAGGAAGAAGGGATTTGGCCAACAGACGCCTTTGTTTCTTTATTAAAAGATTTTATTTATTTACTCTAGAGAGAGAGTAGGAGGGAGGGAGAAAGAGAGGGAGAGAAACGTCGATCAGTTGCCTCTTATTGTTCTACTTATTGATGCATTCATTGGTTGATTCTTTTTTATTTAATTACTTTTCTTTCTTTTTCTTAAGATTTTATTTATTTATTTATCTTTAGAGGGGAAGGGAAGGAGAGAGGGAGAGAAACATCAATGTATGGTTGCCTTTCATGGGTCCCCTGCTGGGAACTGGTCTGCAGGAAACCGGCCTGCAACCCAGGCATGTGCCCTGACTGGGAATCGAACCGCGATTGTCTGGTTCGCAGGCCCGCGCTCAATCCACTGAGCTACACCAGCCAGGGCATATTTAATTACTTTTCAACTACAGTATTCTGTCTTTTACTCCCATCCCAGCCCACCCCCACCCCCCATTGGTTGATTCTTATACGTGCCCTGACCAGAGACAGAACCTGCGACCTTGGCGTATCAGGAGAACACTCTAACCCACTGAGCTGCCCGGCCAGGGTCCACAGACACCTTTGGCCTCCGTTTGCTGGATCAGCTCTTCCTGGTTCTCCGGCCTGCCTGGCCTTGCACTTGTCAGCTGCAGTTCTTTCCTGAGTGCCCAGCCTGTCCACCACCCCTATCAGATTTTAGACTCAGCAAACCTCCAGAATCATGTCAGCCAATTCGCTGAAGTAAGTCTCTACATAAGTAGACACACATCCTGTCGGTCTGTTTCTATAGAGAACACTGACTAATCCGTCATATGACCTAGCAATTCCATGCTTGGGTATATCCTCAAAAGCACTGAACAGAGCTGTTTAAAACAAAAAACAAAAAACAAACCCAAACCCCCCCACCACATATACATTTGTTCATAGCAACATTATATACAATAGCCAGTAAGTGGAAACAGCCCAAACGCCCATCATCAGAGGAATGGATAAACAGAAGGCGTGGAATGTTATTTTTCAGCCATAAAAAGGAAGGGGGTTGGGGTCCACGGGACAACGCGGATGGACCTTGTAAACATTCTGCCCCGTGAACAAAGCCGCACAGGAAAGGCTGCGATCTTGTCTGATCTCATTTGTGTGGAATGCCCAGCACCGGCAAACCCACAGAGGCAGAAAGCAGATTAGTGGTTGCCAGGGGCTGGGCGGGGGGAGGAGAAAGGGCTGCTTGTAGAAGGTGTCTTTTTGGGGGTGATGAGAAAGTTCTGGAACGAGATGGTGGTGGTGGTGGCTCACACCGTTGTGAATGCGGTAGATGTCATTAAATATAGTAAGTCCTTGTTTTTTTGTACCTGACGGTAGCCAGATTTAATGCATTTGTATGTATGGGAATCCCACATATATGAAGGAGTCAGAGTTCCTGCACACACAACTTGCGTTCAAGGGCATATTTTAGGTTTTGTGCATTGCACAATAAAAGAAATGAATGGAAGCATTATAGCAGGCGTGTGGGCTGGAGGTGGGGGACTCTGGAGGGGCCTGTATGCTCTGCAGCTGTACTTCAGTGTGTGGTATGGGCGGGGATTGGTTCTAGGACCCCCTGCAAACACCAAAGTCCAGGACGCTCACGTCCCTTACATAAAAGGGTATAGTGACAAATATTGGAACTGTGTGTTTTTGAGGTCGCATCAGAAGATATTAAAGACCCAGAGGTTTGCCCTTACTGGTGTGGCTTAGTGAGGCATCGTCCCGCAAACCGAAAGGTCACCAGTTTGATTCCCAGTTAAGGCACATGCCTGGGTTGCAGGCCAGGTCCTTATTTGGGAACATGCAAGAGGCAGCCGATCGATGTTTCTCACAATGAAGTTTCTCTCCATCTCTTTCTCCCTTTGTCTAAAAAAGCAAATACTAAATGAAAATCTTAAAAAAAGAAAAAAAGACCCAAAGATGTGTGGGCAATGCTAGACCTGACGTCACTGTAGAAAAGACATCCGGAGGCTTCAGAAATCGGCTGATTTGAACTCACGGTGTAGGCGCTCCTTTTTTTAGGAAAAAAAAAGTTATTTATTTTTAGAGGGAGGGGAGGGGAGGGAGAGAAACATCAGTATGTGGTTGTCTTTTGCACACCCCCTACTGGGGACCTGGCCTGCAACCCAGGCATGTGCCCTGACTGGGAATTGAACCAGTGACCCTATGGTTTGCAGGCCAACACTCAATCCACTGAGCCACACCAGCCAGGGCAACGTGTTTCCTTCCTTGAAGAAATGGTAAGTCAGGCACAGGGTGTATATCTAGGTTTTAAGATGAGAAGTTCCTTTTTGCTGATGGGTGACTTTTCAGTTTGTTATCATATCTGCCAGTTTAGGTTCTGGGTGGGTTTCATGTGTCATTCCCCCCGCCCTTTTATTATTATTATTATTAGCATTATTATTAGCATTATTGTTATTAGCATTATTAGCATTAGCGGCATCATTTGGCATAAGTGGAACCGAAGCACTTGTCCGTTTTGCTTTGCCTGCGCCAGTCCCATTTGGTGTCTGACCCATCTTTGGACCTTGAATCAATCCATGTATATAGAGCTTTTGATCTCTAATGCTTTCACACAGAGTTTTTATTTTACTAATAAAACATTGTTCTAAAACAAAAACATTGTTCTGAAAAAAAGATGCAGCAGCAGTGCAAGGGCCCTTTAAGTGACATTGGGGGTGGGGTGGGGCTCCAAAGAGGAAATACAGAAGTGTCTGGAGACAGCCCCGTTGTCACTGGAGCCAGTGGAGGCCTGGGGGTAAATGAGGTAAGAAGTGGCCCAGAAAGACCCCGAAGTTTGGACTCCAATACTGTTGGGTCTTCTGTCAACTAGGTCATGAAATTGCGGGCTGGCTGATAGCCTCAAAGTGGGGGGGAAAAAACCAAAACAAAACAAAAGAAAACCAGAGCAACAGAGAAAGGGACCAAAAATCAAAAGGACAAAAGTTTCAAGAGAGGCAGAGACAAACACTCTTCTTGAGAGTCTGGGCCCAGGGCCTGGGGTGTGCCCTGCAGCTGGGGGGCGGGGTTGGACGTTCCTGGAGTGGGGAGCAGACTCCGGACAGGATGTGAGAGAGGAACTGGGGTCTCCAGTCACGGGAGCCAGCTGGGGCTGCAGGCAGCAAGGGATCGTGGCTGCGGTGAGCAGAGCCGGGGCCCAGACCGAGGAGGGACCGGCTGGGGTCGGGGCTTCTAGCACCAACGAAGAAGGGGGTCGGATTCTTGAGTCCGAAGAAGGGCCTGGGGGCCGGGGCTCTTGGGTCCGAGGGAGGAGGAGTTGGGGCCCGGATTTCTCGGTCCGGGGGAGGAGGGACTGGGGGCCTGGACTCCTGGGTCCAGGGGGAGAAGGGACTGGGGGCCTCGGACTCCTGGGTCCGAGGGAGGAGGGACTGGGGGCCTCGGACTCCTAGGTGGGGGGGGGGAGGGACTGAGGGCCCTGGACTCCTGGGTCCGGGGGAGGAGGAGCTGGGGGCCCTGGACTCCTGGGCCCGGGGGAGGAGGAGCTGGGGGCCCAGGACTCCTGGTTTGGCGGGAGGAGGGCGTGGGGGCGGGACTCCCAAGCCGGAGGGCGGAGGAAGGGGCGGGGCTGAGCTCTGAGAATGAAATTTCAGCCTATCCAGGCTCTGTAATTAATTAACCCACAGGGATCAAATTGGGTGAAAGTTCAACGAGGCGTAGGGCGCCGTTGCGACGGTCCTGGACGGAGCCCGGCACCCGCACCCGCACCCGCAGGCGCCCGCGCGGTGGCCCAGCCTCGTGGAGCTGAGGGAGGAAGGGGCGGGGCGGGGGTCCCGGTCAGTCACGCGCCCCCTCCCGCCCCAGGTCGCCCTCTCAGGATGCGGGTCCCCCAGCCTCAGCCCTGGGGGCTCTGTTTCCTGCTCTTCCTCCTGCCCGGGACCCTGCGCGCAGGTGAGGGGCGCTCGGCCGGGGCTGTCGGGGCGGAGGGAGGCGCCTCCGGCCGGGAAAAGAGCCGACGAAGCAAAATCGGAGTTTTCCCTGGAGCCAGGCATTTCCTCCTCCTCCGCATTTCTTTTCGTCACACTGTCCTCCTTGGCCCGACATGTCTGGGAACCTCCTGGCTCCCCAGCTCCAGGTGTCTGACCCCCCCCCCCAGGGTCTGTCTCCCCTTTTCTGAGTCTTTCCTTTCTTGCAGTGGGGCCCTGCTCCCAGGCGGGGACCCCGCTCCCAAGCGCCCCCTTCCCCTGTGTCCCCGCAGACGGCCGTCGCTCCCTGCTGTACCACTTCACCGCTGTGTCCTCCCCGGACCCGGGCACTCCTGCCTTCTGGGTGTCGGGCTGGCTGGGTCCACAGCAGTACCTGAGCTACAATAACCTGCGGCCCCAGGCTGAGCCCTACGGAGCTTGGGTCTGGGAAAACCAGGTGTCCTGGTATTGGGAGAGAGAGACGACAGACCTGAGGAACAAGGAGAAGCTCTTCCTCGAAGCCGTCAGAGTCTTGGGGAACGGAAGTGAGACTGGGACTCCCGGGGCTGAGGGAGGAGGGGCTGGGGGGTCCTGAATCCTGGATCTGAGGGAGGAGGGGGTCTGGCCCCTGCTCACCTCTCTGTGGGCACCCCAGGTTCCTACACCTTGCAGGGCCTCCTGGGCTGTGAGTTGGGCCCTGACAATGCCTCCGTGCCCGTGGCCACGTTTGCTCTGAATGGCGAGGAGTTCATGACGTTTGACCCCAAGACGGGCATCTGGGATGGAGACTGGCCGGAGGTGAGGACCATCCGCGCGAAGTGGATGCAGCACCCGGAGACTGTGAACAAGGAGAAGACCTTCCTGCTGTACTCCTGCCCCCAGCGGCTGCTGGACCACCTGGACAGGGGCCGCGGGAACCTGGAGTGGAAGGGTGAGCAAACTCTGGGAGACCCTCGGGTCCCCAGGGATCTCCCAGCCTCCAGCTGCCCCCTCCCCCAGCAGCCAGTCCCTCCCTCTGCCCCCCTCAGCCATTTGGAACAGCCTGGAGTTCCTCCAGCTCACACCAACCCTCCCTTCTTCGCCTCTGCCATTCTCCTTCCAGTTCTACTGGTGTCACACCCAGGGACAGTCCTCCCACCCGTGAGGCTTTCCCCGGCCTCTTTGGGCCTCCCATGATGCTTTGCGTGACCTCTGATCTAGCACAGGCCACTCTGAGCTGTCATGAAGGACATCTGGGGAGTCACCAAGGGCTGGAATTAGAGCTCTTTGCTCCTCAGTGTCCCCACCTTGCTATCCCAGCCTCCATCTCGGCCTTCCCCATACACCATCCTCTCTCTGCGGGTCAGAGGGAGCTGCCATCCCGCCGAGTAAGCCCTGGCTGGGTAGCTCAGTTGGATGAAGCATCATCCTGCAACCCAAAAGGTCTTGGGTTCAGTTCCCGGTCAGAGCACATGCTTAGGTTGTGGGTTTGGTCCCTAGTCGGGCATGTACGGGAGGCGGTCCATTGATGTTTCTCTCCTGTTCTCTCTTCCTCCCTTCTCTTCTGTCTAAACACCAATATGCATGTCCTTGGGAAAGGTGAGATTCTTGTCCTGATACACCAAGGCTGCAGGTTCGATCCCCGGTCAGGGCACATACAAGAATTGACCAATGATTGCTTAAGAAATAGAACAACAAATTGATGTCTCTCTCTCTCAAATCAATCCATTAGAAAAGGACACTGATTTAGTTAAAAACAAACAGGCAAACATAAAACCACGCAAATAGCTTCCCATTAGCCTTAGACTACAGTTCATACTCTACGCTGTGGCCCCATAAGCCCCATGTGATCTGGCTGTTTTTCGTCACTGTGACTTCACAACATCCCTGCTCCGCTGGCCTTTCCGCTGTCCTCCGGCGTGTCCGATTCTTTCCCTCAGGACGTTTGCACCTGCTGTCCCCTCCGCTTACAATTCTTTTCCCAGGGATCCTGCCACGACTGGGTCCTTCTCATGCTTTAGGTTTGATCTTGGACGTCAGCTCTTCCGCAAGGCCCTCCCTGACAACCACCCTGGCTACAGCGTGCCCCCCATCCCACTGCCATTATTGCCACTCATGCCCCTGTGTTGTCTGTTCGGTCATTATACTATCCTTATTATTTTGCTCTTTTGTGGAGCTGTGACTTACCTACCTAAAGTGCATAGCTTGATTAATTTTGTATTGTTTTTAAAAGATTTTTATTTATATTTAGACGGAGGGGAAGGGACGGAGAAAGAGAGGGAGAGAAACATCAATGTGTGGTTGCCTCTCTTGCATCCCCTGCTGGGAACTGGCCTGCCACCCAGGCATGTGCCCTGACTGGGAATCGAACTGGTGACCCTTTGGTTCACAGGCTGGCACTCAATCCACTGAGCCACACCAACCAGGGCTCAATTAATTTTTATATGTGCCCAGGTACCTGCTTTCCAGATGAAGATCTAGAGCATTTCTAGATCCAGGAGACTTCCTGGTGTCCTCTCCCATTCTGTCCCCCTTAGGCATTACAACCAACCTGACTTCTGTCGCCACAGTGTTGCCCGACTGTCCAATTTGCGTGGCTTTGAGTCTCTGCCCGTCTCTGTCTGGCTTCTTCCACTCAGGCTTGTGTTATGAGACTGTGTTGTGTGTATCGGTGGTTCATTTTCTTTTTTACTGGTGAGCACTCTTCTGTCGCATGGTCCATACCACAGTTTATCCACTGGTTTTTTTGTCTTTCCAGATTGGGGCTGTCGGGAGCATAGTTTCCATGAGCAATCTTGTCAATGTCCTGATGAATCTGTATTTTCATTGACTTTGATTTAATATCCGGGAGTGGAACGGTTGAGTCATAGCCGGCTTATCGGATTAGGTTTAGCAGATAGGGTTCTGTGTTTCCTCCAAGTGGTCAGACCAGTTCTGTGCTGCCACCAGCTGTGTGAGTGAATGCCGGTTGTCCCACAGGTTTGCCAGAATTTCATGTCAACTTTCATATGAACAGTAGTAGTGGGTGTGTGGTGGTATCTTACTGTGAACTCCTTTTTCATGATCGCATAAATGGTGTGATGAGTGCCATGGTGAGGACTTTTTCACATTCTTGGCCAGTGGTGTGTCCACTCTTGAGGAGCGGCTGTTTGGGTCTGTTGCCCATTTTTTTTTACTTATTCATTTTAAAGACTTTATTTATTTTTAGTGAGAGGGGCAGGAAAGGGGAAAGAGAAGGAGAAAAACACCAGTGTAAGGGAGAAACACGGATTGTCACCTCTTGCCCGCACCCTGTCCAGGGACCAAACCTGAAACCCAGGCAGATGCCCTGACTGGGGATCCAAGTGGCAACCTTTCACTTTTGCAGGACGATGCCCAACCAACTGAAGCCACACGGATCAGGGCGATACGGTTTATTTCTTTTTCTTATCTTATTGCACTGGCCGGAATCCTTAATACAATGCTACATAGAGTGGAGATAATGAACACCTTGTATTCTCAAACTTGCAGAGAAAGCATCAGCATTTTACCAAGTATTATGTGAGTCATAGGGGTTTTTTTTCCTGTTTCAAATTGACCAAAATATTTCTTTTTTCCTTTTTTTTGGTTGTGCAATTACAGTTGTCCTCATTTCACCCCCATTACTCTCCTGCACCCAACCCACCAGCTGTCTCTGTTTCTCGTTGACCCTTCCCCTTCTTTGCCCCATATCCCCTCCCCCCCCATAGGTTTTTTTGTTGATGTCCATTGTCAAATTAAGGAAGTTCTCTTCAACTCATAGTTCAGTAAGACTTTTTGTTTTGTATAGTGCCGAATTTTATCAAATGACTTTGTCTTTTTTCCCCTTTTAGTCTACTGCGGTGAATTACGGTAGCTGATTTCCAAAAGTTAAACCAACCTTGCATTCCTGGAACAAACTTCACTTGATCATAATGTATTATCTTTTATATAAATGACAAGATTCTAGCTGCATATATATAGCTATTTGCATGAGAGATTGCCTCTAAAGTCCATTGCTTCTTGTGTCCTCATGAGATGTTGTTATTAAGGTTACTCTGGCTTCATATAAAGTTCTGGTGTGGCTCAGTGGATTGATCACCAGCCTGTGAACTAAAAGGCCTGGGTTCGATTCCCAGTCAGGGCACATGCCTGGGTTGTGGGCTAGGTCCCTAGTGAGGAGTGTTCAAGACGCAATGACACATTGATGTTTCTCTTCCTTTCTCTCTCTTTTACCCTCTCTCTAAAAATAAATAAATAAAATATTTTTATTTTATTTTATTTTTTTAAAGATTTTATTTATTTATCTTTAGAGGGGAAGGGAAGGAGAGAGGGAGAGAAACATCAATGTATGGTTGCCTTTCGTGCATCCCCTGCTGAGAAGTGGCCTGCAGGGAACCGGCCTGCAACCCCGGCATGTGCCCTGACTGGGAATCGAACCGCGATTGTCTGGTTCGCAGGCCCGTGCTCAATCCACTGAGCTACACCAGCCAGGGCTAAATAAAATATTTTTTTTAAAAAAGAAGAACGTAAGCTTCACGAGGACAGGGACTTTTGTCTACCTTGTGCACGGCTGTGTCCCCAATGCCTGGAAAAGTGCCCGGTGTGACAGATGCTCAGCATGTGTCAGTTGTAGGAAGGCAGGGATGAGAGCTGGATACCCTGATGGTGGGTAGGTTGTGTCTCTGCCCCTTGGAAGGTCCTTCTCCTTTTACCATTATACTGCCCAGGCGCAGTACATGCAGGACGCGTGGTGGGGCCTGCTGGGTAGAGCGGAAGGATTGGAGGCCTCTCTATGTCCCTGTGGGGCCCTGGGCGGGGCCTGGCCCCGGGGGCTCATGGGCTGGGGGCTGAGCCCATCCGCCTGTTTGTCTGCAGAGCCGCCCTCCATGCGCCTGAAGGCCCGGCCAGGCAGCCCCGGCTTTTCCGTCCTCACCTGCAGCGCCTTCTCCTTCTACCCGCCCGAGCTCCAGCTGCGATTCATCAGGAACGGGCTGGCTGTTGGCTCCGGTGACAGCGGGCTCGGCCCCAACGGCGACGGCTCCTTCCACGCCTGGTCCTCCCTGACCGTCAAGAGTGGGGACGAGCACCACTACCACTGTGTGGTGCAGCACGCGGGGCTGCCGCAGCCCCTCATTGTGGACGTGGGTGAGGTCCCCCTGGGTGCTGGTAACCCCCATTTCTGGTCTTTCTGGAGCAGTCCTTTCCGAGTCTGACCGCCTTCCAGTCCTCTTTGAGTCTGACTGCCTTGCACCCTGCAACTGCCAGTTCTTCCAAAGCCTGACAGCCTTCTGTCCGTGGTTGCTTATCTTCCGTGGTCTTCCATGCTGCTGCTGCTGCTGGCCTCCGGTTAACCACTGTGGACAGTCCTTGCTAAGTCTGACCACCTTCTGTCCTGCTGCTGCTAATCTTCATGGAGTCTGATTGTTGTTGCCTCTGCTGCCAGTCCTCACCAAGAACGACCATTTACTGCTTGGAGCCTGGCCTGCTGCGCTCTGCCTTCCTCTGCTCTGCGAGTTCTGATAACCACCCCCCTGCCGCTGCTCGTCCCTTGGCTGGTATGACCGAGACCGCTCTTGCTATGGCTGGTTCTTCCATCCAACCAGGCCCAGAATACCCGCTGACTGGCCTTTCGTCTGCCCTCGCCCACTCCCCAAAACTTGGTGCTGGGATCTCTGAGATTGGGAGGGACGGAGAACTCCCAGGCCCCTGTCCCGGCTCAGATGGGGCAGGGGGTCCATTCATTCAACACCTGACAGCACATCTCTGGCCGCAGAATCAACAGCCAAGTCCTCAATATCAGTGGTTGGAATCGTCATCGGCCTCTTACTGCTCACGGCAGTGGCTGCAGGAGGTGCTCTGCTGTGGTGGAGGATGAGGAAGGGGCTTCCAGGTGCGCAGCAGGAAGAGGGGAGAGGCTCAGAGAGGGATAGAGACCCCAAAAGGGGGGGGGGACAGAGATCTAGCCAGAGAGGGAAAGAGAGAGGAGGTGGGGACAGAGAATGGGAGGCGGGAAAGAGGGGGGGCGCTGGGGGGGACAACGACACAGAAACTGACACGGAGTACCAGAGACAGACAGACAGACAGATATACAGAATGTGGGGGAGGGGCAGAGACCCAGAGGATCCCCGAGATTCTGATGCTTCCCCCTTTCTCTCTCCAGCCCCCTGGATCTCTCTCCGTGGGGACGATGGAGGGGCCCTCCTGCCCACTCCAGGCCTGTCCAAGGATGCTGACTCTTAGGATATGAAAGCATTCTCAGCAACCGCCGGATCCTCCCCCGTCCTGGCTGCCACTAGCTAACGCAGCCAAGGTCCCTTTCATGCTGTGAGACACCCTGGAATCCTGGTATTTCCGAGGCTCTCGAAGGAGTCCTGGGCCCGGTTTCCTACCTCCGGATTGTTCCTCCTGTGGTCTGCCTCAGTTTCCCCTCCTAAAATATACGGCTCCCTTCCACCTCCACATATAACAAGAATTTGGGCCGGCATCCTTGTGTTCTCATCATTTCAAGTTTTTCAGCGGGGGAGGTAAGGGAGTGGGTGGGGGGAATAAATGGTGTAAGTTCCGGGCTGCAAAACTGAGGCTAACAGGTTGAAATGGTAAAATCTGCCAGTTTTATATACCAAGTCATATTTTTCTTTTCAAAGATTTTATTTATTTATTTTTAGGCAGAGGGGAAGGGAGGGCGAAAGAGAGGGAGAGAAACATTGATGTGTGGTTGCCTCTCAGTGGCCCCCACTGGGGACCTGTTCCACAACCCAGGCATGTGCCCTCTGAGTGAGAACCAAACCAGTGACCCTTTGATTCGCAGGCCGGTGCTCAATCCACTGCACAACACCAGCCAGGGCCAAGTCATATATTTTTCATTTGTAAAATTCACAAGTATCTCCTGAATGCCACGCCGTGCCAGGCATTTAGAGGAATTCTTGGCTGCAGCTTGACTAGGCTCCTTGGTGGAGCGGAACTGTGGTTCCCTCTGTCCGGGAAGGGGATGGCTCCTCCGGCCTCCGGGCTCCCTTCCTTTTTAAACCTTGCTGACAAAGAAGAAAAAGATAAAAACAAATCTCCCATGAGGCTTTAGAGTTAGAAAATCTGGAAGTTGTGGGGTATGACGCCCCGAAGCCTGTTGGGAGTTGTAGTTTGCCGCGTCCGCGTCACTCCTGCTTCGCCCACTGCGCCTGGGCCTGGGAAGGGGCGAGGCTGATCCTCGCGCGCCCAGCTGTCCTTTGTGGACGTGGCGAGGGGCGTCCGCCGCCCGCCTCTCTGTCTCCGGCCCCGCCCCGTAGGGGGTCCTCCTCAGCGCATTGGTCAGGGGGCGGGGCCTCGCTGTGCGGGAGGCGGGCCTGGCTGGAGAGGGGCCAAATTGGGCATCTTTTTGGAGAACGCAGAGCAGAGCGTGGAGAACGCTGCAAGGCTGAATAACCCGGTAAACGGAGGCGGGGGTGGGTGGTCGGCCCAGGTCGGACGGTTCAGGTCCGCTCGGGTCCGCTCGGGTCCGCTCGGGTCGAGGAGGAGAGTCCAGGCTGGAAACGACGGCTGGGACCTTGCATGATTTTTTTTGTTAACCACGACCCTGCCCCACACTTTGCGTGGGAAGTGCGCCACGTCTCCTGCTTAAGTCCCCCCACTTGCAGCTCTGGGAGCTCTCTGGAACTCCCTCAAAAGAAAGATTCAGTCCCCCAAAGCTGGTTTTACCTTCTAAGAACCCAGCCCTCCCCTCCCACTCCCGCCTGTCTTGAGCCCAAAACTTTGTGGCCCGCTACCATCTCGCTGTCCTGTTCCGTCTCCCCTCCCCCCACCCTCCCATTCGGTCTCTGTCCTTTTCCCTGTGACCCCTGACTCCTAGCCGCCACTTCCCAGGGACTGATGACGTGGCGACCATCACTTCTGCTGCTGCTCTTGCTGCTCAGGCAGGGGGCCCCGGGGAAGCCTTCCCCTGAGGCTGGCCCGCATGGCTCGGGGAGGGTGCACCAGCAGGCTCCCCTGAGCGAGGCGCCTCATGATGATGCCCACGGGAACTTCCAGTACGATCATGAGGCTTTTCTGGGACGAGAGGTGGCCAAGGAATTCGACCAACTCAGCCCGGAGGAAAGCCAAGCCCGTCTCGGGTAAGAGAAAGATGGGGACCGGAAGGTTCAGGGTTGTAATTTAAAACAGAGAGGTCAGGGGTGGGCTTTGGTGAGACTATTTGGGCCATGTGAGTATGTGTGGGATTGGCATGCCAGGCAGAGGGAAATATAAGTGCAAAGGCCCTGAGGCAGGACGAGGCCTGTGTGTTCGAGTCACGCGTGGCTAGAACCCAATGAGCAATGGGAGGGGGAGGTGGTGGCAGAGAGGGAATTAAGTGGCTGTGCAGGGCCTTTGGGGCCACAGGTGAAGATTTTGTAAGATTTTATGTATTTGTATTTAGGCAGAGGGGAAGGGAGGGAGAAAGAGAGGGAGAGAAACATCAATGTGTGGTTGCCTCCCACGCACCCCCTACTGGGGACCTGGCCTGCAACCGAGGCATGCGCCCTGACTGGGAATCGAACCTGTGACTCTTTGGTTCCCAGCCTTTACTCCATCCACTGAGCCACCCCAGCCAGGGCCACAAGGGAAGATTTAAGCTTTTCTCTGAGTGAGATGAGGGCTTTAGAGAGAGGATGTGAGCTGAGTTGGATTTCAACAGAATCCCTCTGGTTGCCATTTGGGAAACAACCTATGTAGAGCAAGAAGCAGGAAGCCCACTGAGGAAGTCACTGCACTGGCGGGAGATGGGAGATGATGGCGCCTAGACATGGGTGGACACAGCCGTGGTGGCCAGGTCTCTGGCCGGATGGGGCTGGGAGAAGAAGGCCTGGGAGAGGAAAAGCAGTCAAAGGCTAACATACTTGGCACAGCACTTACTGTGATGCCAGTCACTGTTTTAAGTGCTTCCCAAGGCTTTCTAATGTATTTATTTCCCTCAACCTCGCTCTACTATTTATCTTCATTTTACAGTGGGGAACTGAGGCACCGAGGGGTTAAGTGACTTGCCCACAGTCACACAGCCAGTAGGAGGAGGGTGCAGAATTTGAACTCAAGCTCTTAGCAACAACTTAAACCCTCTGGGTAAAGAGTGAGTCCTAGGCCAATCCTAGCAGATACCTGGCTGGGGAGGGAGCAGTAGGGCTGGCTCAGATTCCACCCTTGAGTGGGTCTCAAGGGCTTAGAGACAGACAGATAAGGCTCCTTGAGCGCTCTGTTAGCAGTTGGGCGAGGACCTCAACCAGTGGCGGGCGGTGGCCAGGGGAGCGGGAAGGGGTCTGGGAGCCCACAGGCGAGACCTGAGAGAAGCCACCTGACCTGCGGCATTACGGGTCATACCTGATAACGTCTGGGGAAAGGTAGGGGACGCTGCGTGAAGCAGGGCTGGAAGGAGAGGGGCCCGAAGTTGACCAGCACGTCCAGAGCAGCAGGCGTTAGAGGAGGGTTAGAAGGGAGATTCTAAAACTGGGGCGGGACATGGGGCCGGGCCTGAGACGGCAAGCGGTGTGTGGCCATGGCAGGTGTAGTTCAGAGGCAGTCTTGGGACGGGAGCGCTGCGGGCCAAGGGCGCAATGGGTGTCCCCTTTCCATGTCTCTACTCCAGCTCCAAGGACCAGCGAGAGACGGAACGCAGGCAGGGTTGAGGGGCGGAGCCAGAGTGGAGGGCGTGGCCTTCGCAGGTTTCAGATTTCAGGTTTCAGATTTCCCCCATCTGGGGTGTTGTGGACCACTACACCCGCCGTAGGCCCGTTGGGGTGTCGGAATGGTGTGATCTCCTTTGGGAGCCGAACCTTGAGGTGGGCGCGGTCTCGGGACTGACCTATGCCTCCTCCAGTTTGCGGGCGGCTGTTGGACAGCATTTTTAGCTCTCTAAGAAGAGGTGTGCCGCAGGTGGGGGCGTGGCTCTGCTCGGGGGCGGAGCCTGGGCAAAGGCGGGATCCCGGGGTGGGCGGGGCCTGAGGCTGACGTGTGCCCCGCCCCGGCCCACAGGCGCATAGTGGACCGCATGGACCGGGCAGGGGACGGGGACGGCTGGGTGTCACTGGCCGAGCTCCGCTCGTGGATCGCACACACACAGCAACGGCACATCCAGGACTCGGTGAGCGCAGCCTGGGACACGTACGACACGGACCGCGACGGGCGTGTGGGTTGGGAGGAGCTGCGCAACGCCACCTATGGCTACTACCCGCCTGGTATGCGGCGAGACCCTGACCCCTGTTCCTCACACACACACTGACCCTGACCTTTCTGACCCCTGGTCCTGAGAACCTTTCGGCTCACTGTCAGAATCCCTGACCTCTGACCTCTGATCCTTGGCCAGGGTCTACCCACTTCAAAACCTCATCACCCTGAAACCACCAGTCTCTGATTTCTGGCTTCTCGTTCTGGCATCTACAACTTTTATAACCCCGGGATGGGGAAGGGGCAGGCGGGGGACTTCAGATCCTTGACCAGGGACATTTACCTTCCATGTCCCTGATCTTTCATCTGAGAACCCCAATGTCATTTACTCTGCCTGCTCACATTCTGGGTTCCCTCCTCCCTGTCCCCACCCCCCAGCCCTGGGCCCCCACAGCTCTGGTTCTCTCCTTCCTGTACCTTCAGCCCTGCCTTTCCCAGCCAATATCCCCCAAGGGGTGTTGCACACCCAGAGCTTATTCCCATCCTCTGCTGCTCATAGCCCCTCATGACTACCCTGGGCCCCCAGGACAAAGTTCCGGTTGCTCAGGCCCACCTGGCCCAACCCCCGGCTTCGTTTTTTCTGCATTTTCTTCCCCAGTCAAATGGATATTCTGCTGTTTCCCTGAACTCACTCCGCACATGTTGTTCCCTCTGTTGAAAATGCCCTTCCCTCTCCTCTGTCCAGAAGAATAACCTACTGCACCAGAGCATGAGTGGAGGCCCCACTGGCCAGCGTTAACTCAAAGGCCATCATTCCTGGCCGCGAGACCTTGAGCGAGTTAATTTCTCTCTGGAAATCAGGTTCTCATTCATGAAGTGAGACTAAACGAAAGAACTCCACTTGCTTTTCAGGAGGGTTCAGTGCAGTGTAGGTGGAGAGCCTGGCTTGTAATAAGCTCTTATTACAAAGTAGCGGATACGTGTTATGTGTAGTTAAACCAGGGGAGGTCTTCCTGCCCTGAGGCCCCGAGCAGCACCCCTTTGTCTTTCTCTTCAACACGCCTGGTGTTACCTCCACGAAAGCACACCTCACCGAGCTCCCTCCTTTCCTAGGTGAAGAATTTCATGACGTGGAAGACGCGGAGACCTACAAGAAGATGCTGGCCCGGGACGAGCGGCGTTTCCGGGCGGCTGACCAGGATGGGGACTTGCGGGCCACACGGGAGGAGCTGACAGCCTTCCTGCACCCGGAGGAGTTCCCTCACATGCGGGACATCGTGGTGGCCGTGAGTGAGGGCCTGCCTTCCACGGAACTCACCCCGGGAGTTCCAGTTACCTGGTCCTTCCCCAGGAAACCCA